GTATGAGACTTAGACATCACAATTCAAAGGTTTCCACATTCATTCTGTCCATGTGTCATATACACTTTAGTGTTTTATTCTACGAATTGTGCGGTTCATTTTTTCATTCACAATGAACAACATTCATTGATAAAAAATATTATCTAACAATATTTAGCGAGACTGAAATGTTACGCATATCCGTCACGTGGATGTGGTTTACATATTGCACTTAGAAATTATCCGCATTCATTCTGTCAATAAATCATTTCGATCTGACGGTCTCATATTATTCTACGCATCGCGGGAATCACTATGAACAATATATTTTTCGTATAACGGCGATCTGATATTATTATCGGCCCTGAAATATTACGGTGTTCCGGAAAGTGGAATGAGGTTTACATATGTTACCTAAAATTCTCGATATTCACCGTATCATACATTATTCTGGTCTAATGTTATTATATTATTCATTTCATCGGCGTTTAATATGAACACAATTCTTTAGTATATAACGATGATCTAATATTACTTACCGGCCCTGAAATATTACGGTGTTCCGGAACGTGAAATGAGGTTTACATATGTTACCTAAAATTCTCGATATTCACGTATCAACCTCGATTTTATGGCCTCATTCTTCGAATTGCTGTGATCACAAGAACAGAATTTTTTAATAATATAACGACTATCCAACATTATTTATCGGCCATGAAATGTTCCGGTACGTGGATTAAGGTTTACATATGCCTCCTCAAAATTCTCGATAATTACAGTATCAATATATTATCTCGATCTCAAATTATTTTCACACTTCGCAGGCATCATTATAAACACAACTCTTTAATATATAACGACGATCTAATATTAATCATCCATCTTGAAGTAATAATATCATCCGGCACGGTTTGTGGGTTTTATGTGAACATTCATAATTTTCGACATTCTCTTCTGTCAATATAACAGATAGACCAGCCTTATGTTATGCTACGCATCCCGGAAATCACTATGAACAATATATTTAATTATATAACGACGATATATATTATTTAACGTTTCTGAAATATTACGAGTTTCCATTACGTGGAATGAAGTTGACATGTGCATATTGAAATTTCTCGACGTTGACCATATCAGTATATTATCTCGAACATATGGTCTTATTATACGCATCGCCATAATCACCATGAACACATTTTTTTAAAATATAACTACAATCTAATATCATCTAACGACCCTGAAGTATTATGGTATTCGGCAGGTGGCATAAGGTCTACATATTCTACTTGATAATTGTCGACATTCACCGTATTGATTTATTATCTCGACCTGACGGTCTCGTATTATTTTACGAATCGCTGGGATCACTATGAAAACAATTTTTTATAGATAACGACGACTTAATATTATTTATTGTCAATGACATTTTACGGTATTCCGGTACGAATAATGAGGTTTACATATGCTGTTTGAAGATATACGATATTCAGCGTGTTAATATATTACTTCAATCTGACGGTCTTACGTAATTCTACGCATCGCAGTGCTTGCTATAAAAACAATTCTTTATATATAACGACCTAACACTATTTATCTGGAACATTACGGTCCTCCGGTACGTTTCGGTGCTTACAATTGACTATTTAGAATATTCGATATTATTTATTGATCCTAAGGAATTATCCTCCGAGATTTCATATGACAATTCAGAATTTTTGTCATTCATACAGCCAATACATCATATCTATCAGAATGCCTCATATTACTTTATGCATCGAGGAGACCACCGTAAAGAAATTTTTTTGTACATAAATATCAAATAATATTATTTAGCTACCACGAAATTTTGCAGACCTCCTATGCGGTTCTTATATATGACACTTCAAAGTTTTTGACGTTCATTCTGTCAATATATCGATCTGTCTTATATTATTCTTCGTATCGCGAGAATCACAATGAACATCATTTATTTTTACGTAAATGACATCTTATATTAATTATTGACACTGAAATATTATGGTCCTCCAGTACTGTTAATGGTTTACATACTTTTCAGATTTTTCTACATTGATTCTGCCAATATATCTTGTGGACCTGGAAACTTGATATTAATCTACGCATCGCGATTATCTCAATGAACACCATTTTTTTCAACATAATTGTCATATATTATTTATCGACACTGAAATATTGCGAACTTTCGTACGGTGTGGTGGATTATTAATAATTACATAAATAATTAAATAATTATTAATAATTCATTTATGATCCACGAATTTTTACGGTCCTTCGGTACGGCTGGAGTCTTACATATGACCATTCAAACTTTCGGCAATTATTCTCTCAATATATCATCTTTATCTGATGGTTTTTATTATTCTACGAATCGCAGAGATCAGCATGAACACAACTTTTTAATATATAACGACGGTCTAATGTTATATATCAACCCAGATTTGTTAAGTTCTTCCTCTACTTTTCGGGGCTTGATGTGACATTTCCAAATGTTCGACATTCTTTCTATCAATATATTGTTTAGACCTGATATATATGTATTATTTTACGCATTGCGGGGATCATAGTGAACACTATGTTTTAATATCTAACGACGATATAATATTATTTATCGACCCCGTAGTATTACGGTCCTCCGGCTTCGTGGCTCACATGTGAGATCTCATATTTTTCGTCAATATCATTCATTCTGTCAATATTGTAGTGATGCGATGTAAATAAAGTTTATTATATTAAATAAGAAAGAAAACAGAATCAAAACAACAAATAATAAACACAATGTAGACAACAGAAGCAACAATGTTTCGAATAAAATCAAACGAAACAATTAATTCTTTTATACAACACAAATGACCACTCTCTGTAACCACTCACATTCAACGCTCTTTTATGACACTGCCTTGACACTGTCTTTTCACTCGCACATCTTTCCTCTTTTTAAAAAAACGCTCAAAAAACGCTCGATTCCAACGCTGTGCTTCTCACATCATAATCATACTTTCTTGTTTTTGCATCTTCAGCAAACAAGCCATCTATAGGAAATAAAATTAATTAAAAATATGACCACACAATATA